ATGTGGTCACCTCCGGGGCAGGCGGGGATCGAACTCATGCGGAAGCGGCTTTAGCCTCTCAGTGCTGTGCTTTAACCTGCTGCACCACCGGGGAGGGCCATTATCCCATTTTTTAAGAAGCGGAGCAATAGCTCCCTGTCGGTCTGAGACAGCAGCAGTCTGGAGACAGTGGAAAGCACTGTTTGCCCTGAGAACTCAAGTGTGGGGAGCGTTTCTATTCAAAACCATTTTTTAAGATTTATTTATTTATGCAAACAAGAACTGGGGTACAGGCCAGAAGTGTGGGGGTGGTGGTGAGAGGATTCACCAGAGAGAGTAGGGAGCAGAACAGGTGATCGACTGAAATACACTGCTGAAGGGAGCAGCGGGCAGACAGTCTGTCTGCCAGGCCATGTGAGTCGCTCTCCAGCCGGGGATCGAACTTGTGCTGCAGTGGCTGCCGATTGCTTCATAGTGCTGCGCTCAACCCGTGGGCCACCAGAGAGGCCCCAAATTCAAAACTTCTCTCCTTATCTTTTTAAGCTCCAAGCTCTAAGAAATGCCGTTCAGATGGACCTTAACCCAGCGAAAACTCACAAGTCTCTCGACACAACCCAAAAAGTCATCAACGAGTATAAGTCTGAAATTCGGTGAGTAAATCTTATAATACGACTGTTTGTTCTCATTAGGTGTGCATTTGTTGACTTTATTTATTCAAAGCTTTGCTGAACATATTGAATATATGTGAGTTCAGCCAAATGAGATCATGAGGTATTCTCATCCTGTTCACACCAAATTTGACCCCCACGAAAGGAGTGAGGCTGTGGGCGAGGGTGATGTGCAGACTCTGCTGGTGGAGACCAGTCCTTCCCGCCAGACACAGGCAGCGTGGCACAGACAGGCTCACCACGCAGACAGTGCCGGTGAGCTGGGGCCCAGCAGTTCTGTGTCAAATGCCCAATGCCAGGAAGCTCTGTGCAGGTGTGCGTGGAGACCTGTGCAGATTTCACAGCCTCACGGGCCAGACAAGGCACCGGAAAGAGCCCACACAGGGATGAGCCCAACCACAGTGGCGGGATACAAACGAGGCAGCGCTGGGATTCTCGCGATGTGATGGGAGACGCTGCTGCAGAGCTCCAGGCCACTCACATGCCTGGACGTGTACAGGAGCACACACGTGACCCACACAGACGGAGGCTCACACTCCAGTTCCCTCCTCCAGGCGGGGTGGAGGCAATGCAAGGTCTTCACAGTACTGTGTCGTGTTACCCCACATACCCAACTTCTGGCAGGCGCTGGCCACCCTTGCTGTCTCCGCTCCACTCCCGTCCTTCCCTGTCCCCTGTCCCTGCGCCCACCTGGCTCTGAGGCTCATGGGACCACAACCAGGCATCTCTGCATTGCTCAGCAGGAGGGAGCCTTGGCCCACGTGACCAAGAAGTAGCTTCCTGGAAATAGGAACCCTCCAACAGTCCTATGAGGTGGAACCTACTAGGCGCCCTGGTTTACAGATGAGACATGGAAAAGTTAAGTGTTGTAGCTTCCCCAAGGCCAGCTAGTAAATAATAGAACCAGGACCTAACCTGACTGGTCTGGTTCTAACATCGGTGCTCTTAGCCACAATGCTCTATTGCTCCTCAGGAAGAATGTTCTCTATGCTAGCTCATCGCTCTGTTGCTTGCTGAGGTCTTCAGAGAGCTCTGAGTCTTGGCCACCCAACCTCTAACCGGCTATCCTCTTCCACTATCTTCCTTTCCCACAGCCACCAGTTGAAGGATTAGAAACCTAGAGCTCTGTGTTCCTGTACCATCTCCATGGACTAAGTCATCGCAAGCACAAGCTCCACACTCAGGCCTTCCTCCCCAAATTCAGGAGCTAGCTCATGAAACACAACCCCATGGTTTTCCTAGGAAATGTCTTAGGCAAATCCCACACTGCAGTAGGCATTTGTCTGTGTCTTGAAAGAGCTACACATGTCCCAAGAGCAGGAGCTATGAACTCCCCTATCTCCTAGACACATCGCAATCCCCTGGGGTGACACTGGGTGTTGCTCAAGAAATAAATAATTGTCTAAAGAATTAATCAACTAATTGGTTATATAATTGAGCACTTAGGGGTCTGGGTTTGATTGTTTTCTCTTCCTGCAGAGAGCTTAAAATAAGGCAGTGAATAATTCCCAGACACCTTAGATATGCGCCCTAAAGGAAACAATATCAAATAAGTCTCTTAAAACAGGTTGGCATTGCCTTGCCTTGTCTTCAAATTTGTTTTGATATTTTGGTTTTCTAGGGCTTATTAAGAAAGACTATCACTAGCAAATTAGCTTTACATTCACTATTGCATTTTGAGCTTACTTTCTGTTTGCAAACAATAGAAGGCAACTTTCTAGTGTTACTTTCTAATATGTTCTTGTGTATTACTTTCTCTCTTGCAGACAAACAAGGAAACTGCGTGATGCTGAACAAGAGAAAGATCGAACGTTGCTTAAGAGCATCATAAAAGTCTGGAAAGAGATAAAGTCCCTTCGAGAGTTCCAAAGATACACGAATACACCCCTGAAACTTGTTTTGAGAAAGTAGGTTTTTCTCAAGGATTTAGTTTATTGGGCTTTATCAGGCATAAAGAAAGATGTATAGAACAGAGGTACAAATTTTAAAATCATTACAAATGAATAACCATTCCTCGGGTTCTCAGAAGACTGAGAAGCCCCCATGGCCGAGCCCAGATGCATCCCCTATGTCCTAGAAGTAACCATTTTCTGGAGTTTTCGGTTTTGCCATCTCTGTAATCCTTAGGACATACAGTTCTACATTGCTAGTGTTTGATTTTTAATTAAGTGAAAGGGCACTGTGGTACTGTGTTTGAGGTCTTCAGAGAGCTCTGAGTCTTGGCCACCCAAGACTCATTTACTTTATGGCATATATTTGCAGTTCATTTTCTTTGCTTTATAGTACTTCATTAGATGAATGTAACAAAATTTTTCTACATTTACTCTTCTGTGCTGGTAAGTATATTTTACTAGTGGATTTTAAATTTTTTTTATTGAAGTAACATGGACTTACAAAATGTTTTAGGTGTATAGATTATCATTCAATATCATGGTCTCCACCAAAACATCGAGTTTCCCTCCACCTCCATATAATTGATGTCCATTTTCCCAGTGATGGACATTTGAATTAATTCCATTTTCAACATTTGTAGACAATGGGTGCATGAAGACACATGGACTCAGGTACTCTAGAAATATACCTAGAAGTGGCATTGTGGAGTCTTAGAAGATGCACTTTTTCAAGTTAACATGGGGGTCCCAAACATTCTCCCAGCATTTTTACACCAGTGGAAGGAGTTGGGGGCACACATTTGCTGCCCCTCCTGAAGTCACCCAGCCAGTGACCACATAAGAGGCTCTACAGAGACGCCTCCCAGGACTAGAGCTGCACAGGACCCGCACAGCACAGTGTGGGTGATCTCCCGATGGGTGGCCCTGGCGGCAGTCTCGCCAAAGAACTCACAGCATCACCCACGGTCAAAAAAGTGATTTCAGGGAGTCGGTAGCAGCATAATGAAGCAGCTCCGCAGCCTGAATGAATGAAATAAGCATAGTCTAGCTGGTACTATGGGTCTGGGGAGTTCGTTCCCCAAGAGTGTTTGAGCGGTGGCTGCGCTCAGACTCGGCTCCCCTCACCACCGGTATTCCTGGCTAGTGACTCATTACCTCTCTGTGCCTGGCTCCTTGGTGCATAAACATGAATTATAAAAGTGCTGCCTCCGAGGCCGTGAGCTAGGGCAAACCGCTAGAAGAGCTTCCAGCTCTTAGCAAGTCCAAGCAGCGTTTGCTGTTACGATTCTCCAACTTGATTGCGGGAACTCACCACGACACTGTGCATTGTCTTCAAGGGAGAAAGTCGACCAGAAAGCAGACAGTGAGGCATATGAAGCAGAAATCCAGGCCGAAATAAGCGAGTTGCTGGAAGAGCAGATGGAGGAGCATGAGCGGCAGATGGCGGAGTACAGAGCCACGCTTCAGCGCTGGAAAGCCTGGAGGAGAGCCCAGGTCTGCCGGCCGCCACCGCCGAGGCAGGGCGAGCCAGGGAAGGCCAGGGCAGGAGCAGGGCAGCCGAGTCCCCTGCAGGCCTGGCGGGCTCCCTCCTCCCTCCCTACCTTCCCCCAACCTTCCTCCACTCCTCTCCAGCCCCCCACCCCCACTCCCGCCAGCTGGTACCCACACCAGCTGTTTTCTTAACTGGCCCTGTGATACCACTCTGGTTATTGGCGTGGACAACAAACAACAGCATAATCATGTATGTGTGTGTCCAAAGCTGTGCAAAACACTTAGCATAGCACACATATCAGCCCACTGAATGTGGAGCGTGGATGCTTCTGGGTTTCCTGAGGAAAAGCACGTAACTTTGTGAGCATGATTGCAAAATTGAACCCATGAGCAACAAGTAACAGATCGGGGTGCCTTGGCACGTCTTACTGCAGTTGCAAGATGTGTCCTGAGCCCCCCACCCCTCATGGTGCAAAGGGTTAAAGTGCAACGCAGTGAGGCTGTCCACAGCCACTGCAGCGTGGGTTTGATTCCCAGCCAGGGAGGTGACTTGGATCTCTCCTGACCCGCCCGCTGCTCCCCTCAGCAGTGTAATTCACCCGTTCTGCCTGTTCTGCTCCCTACTCAGTCTCTGATGAATCTTCTTGCCCCCACACTTCTGGCCTGGACCCCAGATGTTTCCAGAGCTATTAGAACAGTGGGTCAATGCTTTCTGGGCATCGCCTCATTTCAAAGCCCTGGAAAGAGGTCCTGAGGACTGTCCCCGTTTTGGGTTTGAGAAAACAGGCACCCACAGGTCGCCATCTCTGCAGCCTCCCCAGGTGGGCGCAGCAGTAGGATGCAGCTGGGTGGGCCTCCAGGACTGCCTGCATCTGAAGAATGCTCTTCAGTGAGGTTCGCTCTTCAGTGAGGTTCGCCTGTCTGACCCAAGGTTGCCTCTTACCCAACAGCGAGCCAAGAAGAAGAAAAAGAAACAAGCAGAGGAAGACCGCGGGGATGAGGAGCCGGGGGAGACTTCTCCCGAGGAGGGGCCGGCGAAACCCGTCCCTCCCGAGCGGGCAGATCAGGCGGTGATGGAGCAGCAGGTGAGGGAGCGAGCCGCCCAGAACAGGAGGAGGCCCGGGGAGCCCACGCTGGTCCCGGAGCTGAGCCTGGCGGGGAGCGTGACGCCCAACGACCAGTGTCCCAGGTGAGTGAACGCGGAGCCCACCATGAGGTCGACACGGGCAGTCACACGTGAACATGCTAGACGCTGGGTGAGCCCCTGCTGACAGCCAGGTGTGATGGGGCCTATGGCTGCCTCTGTAGGTAGCGCTGAGACTGAGCCACAGGAGACTGCAGGTGCTCGTAGTTCAGGTGATAGGATTCGGTTACCTAAGGCAGAGCCCCCCAGCCCACCCCCGCCGGCCCTCGGGAGGGCACTACCTGAAGTTGCCGGCAGGAGGCGCTCTTGCCAGCGGCTGCCTGCCTGACTTGTAATTTGGAGCCTTGATCTGTAACTGGCGGGTTCTGGGGTTCTGTCCGCTAGCAGCACCCCACTCCTAGCAAACACACCCAGGCTCCCCGTCGGCCCTTGATATCAGCTGCTCTGGAGCCCAGCTTCTCTCTTGGGAAACCTCGTGGAGCTTCCAAAGAAACTGGACATTCCCAAGAGGTCTTCAGGCCAGGCCGGGGAAGCATGGCTCCACGTTGATGAGATTAGCACCTCTTGTCGTTTGTATGTGATGCCTAAGACAGAAATCTGATTTAGCATATGCAAAGCTGTACGTAATCACAAAAACGCATTACATGCTCACCTCTTATATCACATAAAACATGTTCAAATGTCCTCTTTCTTTCCTGCACTTACAGAGATGGTTCTCAAAGGGTCGCCCAAGACCAGCAAGCAGCCTCAGCATCACCTGGGGAACTTGCTAGAAATGCACATGCCTTGGTCCCACCTGAGACCCAATCGCAAACGCTGGCTAGGGACCGAGAACTGTGTTCTCTTGCACAAGATGCTTTTGATGCACGTTAACACACCTGCGATCTACCCAAGGGCATCGGGAAGAGTAATCCATACCCCAACCCCAGGCTTACCTCGCTGTAAATAGACGGCAGGCGTGAATCCAGAGAATATCTTAGGCTATAATCTCTGCTATGTCCACATAGTACAGCAAGCCTTCAATGCAGCCAGTCACCCCTGGAGATAATTGGGACATGATTTAAAATCCTAAGTCTTCCTACTGCCTTAGCATCGGACATCTATTAATGCTCTAATAGTTTGTTTTAAATTGTAGCTTCTTGCACATGTACCCTCAAGTCTAGCATTAATATGCTAACATTGACAGACTATGCCCCAGCATCTAATTAGCTATTTCGAAGCATCAAAAGCCACGTCATGTAATTTATTTTTTTAAAACAATTTGACTGTTTCTTCTTCTTTTGTTTAAAGATTTATTTATTTATTTATTCATACAGAACTGGGGTACAGGCCAGAGGTGCAGGGGCGATGAGAGGCTTCCCCAGGGACAGAGTGGGGAGCAGAACAGGCAGATCGATGAAGTACACTGCTGAGGGGAGCAGCGGGCGGGTCAGGAGAGGTCTGCCGCGCCTCGTGGGTCAGCTCTGGGGCCGGGGATCGAACTCACACTGAAGTGGCTGTGGCTGGCTTGCAGTGCTGCGTCCTCATCCCTTGCACCACCAGGGAGGGCCTCATATAACTTATTTTATGGTCTGTTTCATCAAGGTAACATTGGTTTACAGCACTGTAGATGGTTTAGGAGTACAGAGTCTCACCTGTTCAGATGCTCTCACCACACACCCCACCACCAGGGAGTGCATGTTCTGTTATATTAAGCTCGGCCAGACCTGTAGCTGTTGGGGGAACAGGGAGTCCCCACCAGCGCACCTTGCTCTGTCGGGTGCCACGTGCCAGGCTCCGTCACGCCCCCCGGACCACTGTCCCCGTGTGTCCCACTGTGCAGGGTGGAGGTCTCTCGAAGGGAGGACGTCCGGCGGCGCTCTGTGCACGTGAAGGTGCTCTTCAACAACAAAGAGGTGTCCAGGACCGACAGCCGGCCGCTCGGGCCAGACTTCCGTGTTCACTTTGGACAGATTTTCAATCTGCAAATAGTCAACTGGCCGGAGAGTTTGAGCCTGCAGGTAGGCCGGCTCGTTCCAGACCGGCCCCGGAAGCAGCGGGTCCTTGCAGTGAGAGGTGGGCTCAGACCACCCCATGTCTGAGTCCCGATGGACACTCCGGGAGGGGGGAGGGGTCGGTGCCTCCTTGGCATGGCTGCCCTAAGGGTCTTGGCAAAGGAGCTCTGTTAACCACTGACTCCAGAAATTGCAGCTGGAGGGACCGTGAAGAGCCCAAGCGTGAGCGCCAGATGGGGTGGGGGTGGCCGGGATATGGGGCAAGGGGTCTCCGGTTCATTCGTGGGGGGATACTTCAATGTCAGTGTCCCCCAGGGCTCCGCACCATGTACCACAGAAACCAGTCACACCCTCCTCACGGCTGATGGAGGTAGAGCAGAGCCCTCCGATCGCCCCTCCACCTCCTTGACGTGGCTTCTCTGTGTCCATGGACACTGTCTTTGGACCTCGGCCACTCCTTCATCTCCAGCCTTCGCTAACTAGCTCTGTAAACACCCCATCTTCAAAGGTCATGCGTTTGGTTCTGAGACCTTGGCTCTAGAGGACACTGTCCATCGCTATGGTCTTAAGCTCGCTGCTCTTGTGGCAAACCCCCAGAGGCGGCAGAATCTGTGATACTGACAGCCTGTGGGTCATGTGGCGTGTTGGCCGCCTGCTCTCGGGCAGAACCACTGGTCCTCACCCACCGCTCACGGAGACAGTCTCACAGTCTCATTCCCAACCGCCACTAATGCCAGAAATGACCGCGTGTCTTGCCCGTTCTTTCTGCGCCCAGGCGTCCAGGCCAAGGCTCCCCAGGCTCCGTTCTGGGGCCTCTCTTCCTCTGTCCTCTTTGCCATGCGTATGGGGGAGCGGAGGGAGAGAGGCGCCGACTCTGCCGGCCTCTCACCTGGGCCCCACTGCGAGCTCCACCTTTATCTGAGCCTGCTGGCCTGTACGGGGATCAAGACGCCATTCCTGTCCCCACACCACATGCTTGGCACAGACAGGGTGTAACTGACCTCCGTGGGCGCCACTGAC